GGGGTTTCTCCGCGGCATCGCAGCCTCCGGACCGCCTGAATCCTGCTCCCTCTGAATCGTCGGCGCCGGGTTAAAGCTCAGTTCTCATGTTGTGGTTGCTGGGCTGCCGCGCTCCCGTTTTGCGATGGGAGGTGGAGGAAAAGGGATTGTCCGTGAGTCAACACCGAAAACGTGATTAGGATGAACTGGTTTCACTAATCTGTTTCTAACCTTTCAGTCCATGTTGGCCTGTGACCCCTCTCAGCTTTCACATCCAGCCCGATCAGGTAAGGTGTGAATTATTTACTTGGGGTGAGGGAAGGCGGATGGAAACGTTTCAGAGACTTACCTACGATCCTGGCCCCTCTCAGGATGAGAAATGATGAGAAAGTTCCAGCTGCAAACTAATTCTGAGCCTAGCAGCATTTGTTTACTTGTTGAAATGTGTCCGTGCAAGACGTCTGCAGTCTGTTTGATTTCCAGGATCGAGCCGAGTGCCTGTGAGTTGCTGTGGGACATCTCAGCTGCTGTAGCAAAATATCTGGGGAGAACTTTTATATACATATATATATATGCACACATTTGTTTTGACAGCTTCCTCATAAAACTCCAGCAAATTCTCACAAGTATTTCACATTTCCTCAGATATGAATGGCTCTGTTTGCTGCTCTTTTTTTTCCCCCTAAATGCCCACAAATCTGCAGTGTTGCAACCTACCTGTAGCGTTAGGTGGGGAGATGCTCTGCTCTATAGATATGTAAAGCAGCCGTATCTGCATGAATCGCTGGATTTCCAAACAGCATGTTACACGAGATATTGCTGATAGGAGTGCACAGTCCTTGTGATGGAAACACAGCTAGTACTTCAATTAAGAAGATATCTTTTCGAATTTGATAAATCTTGTGTAATATCCGGTGTCTCCCTCTGTTGTGGCTTCGGGAAAACTGCTTGGTCAACAGGATCCTTTAGCTGCTTCTCTGGGATTAAAGCCTTCTCCTCCTGCTGCTCCTTTTTCGCTTCAATTAGGGGAGAATTAATTGCTGAACATCTGCAGTCCACCAAAAAAGCCAGTATATAAAAATGTCACCCCGAGGGGTGGGGGCAGTACGCGTGTGTGGGTTAATGCATGTTTGTGTAGACTCCGTGTGCCTCTGTGTGCATGCTCTGGGAATGGAGGAAGAGAAGGGATGATGACACACACACACCCCAACAGCCCTTCTTGTTTTGGTTTGTGCCAGCATCTGCCTCCGTAGTTCTGCAGTCCGTGTAATGCTGCTATTTCATCTCATTTCAAAGTTTCCTGTAATACTTTTTTAAGAGGGGTCAGAAACCAGTTTGCTGCCGGGGTTGCACTGGTGTGTGGGCAGGTTGGTGGCGGTGATGTGGCACTGTGGGCAGCCAGAGGTGTTCCCGAGGCACCGGCACGGAGCCTTCTCCGGGGGTCGCTGAGAGCCCCTCTCCCTGCCGGGCTCCGTGCTCACTCCTCCGCTCCAGCACAGCTCACCGCCCGTCGCTCCCGAAGTTTTAAAAAGCTTCCAGCCTAATCAGGCCGACACGTTTCAGCGGCTCCATGCATTATGCAGGCATTTAACGTCCTGCACTCGGCGGTTTTTGCTGGGAATCACTGAAATGCTGAATAATGGAGGTGGTGAATCGCATCTTTGCCTCTGGCAGGGTTAAACGTACCTGCTGCAGGCTGGGCTGTGTTGGTAGCCCAAAAGTCCCTCTTCAGAAATGCTGTAAATAAGATTCTGTACTATTCCACCTCTCGCAGCCCAAGTTAACCCAGCACCATCTTTCAGATCTGACACAGATCTGACAGCAGATTATGTTTAACTCCTTTTTCAGCTCGGGTTTCCCACCTCGATTTAATGAAGTGGGCTGTGCTCCATCCGTAGCACCAGGGGACAGTTGCCACCACAGGAGGTTTAGACCATCCTTAAACTTGGCTTCAAAACCCTCCGAGCTGCCCATCACCATGAGATTTCAGGCAGCTGGTTTAATTTCTGGTGCATCCAAAAACTCAGCTGCAAAAATGAGGAAAGTAAAAATTAGATGATTCTGTGAACCACCATTCCTTCAGAGGTATTTTATGGTCATATGCTTCCAGGCATGTGTATCTAATTTTAGGTATTTCACATGCTTTGTTCTCTTTGCCAATAGTTAACAAGAGGTTTAATTCAAATGAAACAGTGATAGTTAAAAACTTTGATTTATTCCTTGGTACTGGTTGAAACAATGACTTTTATAAGTCAGTATTCCTTGAATTTTGAGTTTTCTCTCACTTGAAACTGTTTGTTTTCAGACCACAACACTGGTCTCCCTATGGAAGCAACTGTTTGTATCTGGCTTTGAGGTCCCATGGAGAAGCTGAGGAGGGGGATGGCTCTTCACATCCATGAAGCCTGGATACTTCTGTTTGTGCTCCCTGGTTTGGTCACTCCAGCTGCCATCAACCATGAAGATTACCCCGCTGACGAAGGGGACCAGACCTCCAGTAATGACAATCTGATCTTTGATGATTACCGGGGGAAGGGCTGTGTGGATGACAGTGGCTTTGTGTACAAACTGGGAGAACGTTTTTTCCCAGGACATTCCAACTGTCCCTGTGTCTGTACTGAGGATGGACCTGTTTGTGATCAACCAGAATGCCCTAAAATCCACCCAAAGTGCACAAAAGTGGAACACAATGGATGCTGTCCAGAATGCAAAGAAGTGAAAAACTTTTGTGAATATCATGGGAAAAATTACAAAATCTTGGAGGAATTTAAGGTATGGAACCTTTCTTCAGTATTTCCTACTAGTATGCTTTAGGAATTGTATTTTTGGTGGGAGCTCTCAAAGGCACTCAGTATTTGCTTACTGCCACTGATGAATGCTGAAGTTGAAGTCATTTTTAGCTGTGATGCAGATCTGGCTCATGTAAAAGCTGTCACCTCCCCTTTATGTGCATCCCTGAGGGCCAGTGGTCAGTCAAAGCCCCTGAGGGAATTGCCAGCCCTCTGCATCTGCCTGCTTTGCTCATAGCATGGCTCATGCTGGACTGCCAAGGCTGTGTAACCCACTACTGAGTGCTTTTTAAGAACCCCTTTTGCAATTTGGATAGCAAAAAATTGATGCCATGGTACTGAGGGCTGTTACTCACAACTATATGAGCCTGCAAATAAGTAGATGGTAAACTCTATTTATTTTTTTCATTTCAACTGTGATGAGGCTGTCTAGAATGGAGAAGATGAAATCCTAGGCAGATGAGCATCTCAAGCAAAGAGAAGCATGGGGATTCATTGTAATGGTGGAGTTATTGTAAGGAATGTCATAAAGAAATCCTGAAATAGATCTTAAAAACAAGTCAGTGTTTTCCAAAACCACTACACAACCCGCAATTCTCATTCTAATGAGTTTGATCACGAGCTGTCAATTGTGCTATTCAATTCTGAAAACAGCATTTCCCAGTGAAGAACAGGGGCTTTAAAAGCTCTAGGTACACAAGTTTGTTGTTCAGGTCATGTGGCTTTGAGTTGAACCTCCATAATTAACAATAGCCTGTAACTCTCCCTGGCTGAGTGCCAGATTTTATTATACACTTGGCCAGTTTGTTGTCTTTCCTGCAAGGAAAATAATTTCATACATGTGTGAGTACTTCACCAGTTCTCAGTAACATAGATGGCACTTCTGTTTTTCACAGAAATGGGCATTTTCAGGGAAGGTAGCAGTTAGTAGTTCCTTTCTTCTATCATGTGTGCTGTGTTTGTCTTTCTCTGTCCATCTGGAACTGCAGTCACTGAATCTGGACAAAACAGTTTAATGTCACAAGCACAGGATAAAGCAAATGTATGAGGGGCATCTCCTTGAGGGCCACCCTGACCAACCTGCTCTGCTTTGCTGAGGGATGTGAAGATGCTGAACTTGATATAACTGCTCAGATAACAGTTTCTTCTTGCCCTGACAAGGCCCAAGTCCATCCCATGATCACATTTCAGTGGTCCCACTTTGACAGCTCTGTTGTCAAGTGGTGAGATACCCCACCTAGGTGGTCAGGTTTACATGTGAGAGCTATAAGGTCTCGTTTGTAGGAAGCAGGAATTTGTAAGGACTCTGAAGAGATTTCAGTGGGATAGTAGATCTTGTCATCAAAGTATCTTTTGTGTGTGAATTAAGTGGAAAAGTAGTGATCTCTTTTTCTGAAAGAAATAATTTCATCCTGATAACAGCTTAAACTCTAGGAAAACAGAATAGAGGAGAGAAAAGCTGTTGGAGAGAGTTAGGAGCCATCTGGTTCCCTGCTTGCTGTATTCAAGCACTCGGGGTGCTGTGTGGAAAGCAAAGTTGCAGCACCCTCTGGGAAGCACAAAGTAGACAGTGTCACACCACTGTGACACACAGTAACCTTCTGTCCAGAGCTAATGGCAGATCCTTCACACTTTATTTAGCTGGCAGGCAAACTTTTGACCTGGACCTGTGTTTTGCTGAAAGCTCAATATGTTGTGGGATAGAGCAGAAACCAATGTTTTGGAAACTTCTGTGTTTACCTAGAATAAACAGTGGGTTGCTTGTTTCCCCTCGAAGTTCTGTAGGAGAGTCAGACAATGGAAGATCACTGTTTTGTGGGGAATAAAGAAGCACCTGTGAACTATGACTTTATAAATTCCATAGGAAAGGCAGAACTTTGAGATTCAGGAAGCTGCTGCTCTGAAGTCTTGACTTTATGAGGCATCCAAGCATTTTGTTGTTTATTTCAGCAGAAGAAAGATTATACCTGCTATCTCTGCAGATGAAATCTGGAGCAGTTCATAGGTTTTACAGGCTCTGAGCTCTGCTCTTCCCTCATCCTGTTGAATTTATAATGTCTGCAAACTTTCTCCCATCCATTGCACACACACTGAGTCAGAGGCTGTTCTGCCTCAAGCCCAGGCTGCTTTCAGTGGACACAGAGGCACTGTTTTATGTGGTCTCAGAACCCTTTCACCCACTTGATTTACTCGTGCTGGTATGTAGATTCCAAATAGTCATCTATAGAAGTGCTTGTCACTGCTGAGTTTCAGCTGAAATTAGCCTCTATTTAAAAATCTTTTGCAAGTGTGTGTCTGTGTGTGTGTGCCAGGACTGACTCATCTTGTAGAAATTTCAGCTGCCTGATCTTTCACAAATTTGGATTAATTTTTTTCTCTTGGATTTTTTTCCTAGGATATCAATATCTATGAGAGGTTTCCAGTTGGGTGAACTGTTTCTAGATTTTTTTTTCTCAGCTTTGGGGTGAGAAATCGAAATGTGATTCAATCTGTTTTTCTTACCACTGGCAGTAACTGCAATGCTGTCAGGGTAAAGGAGTAGTTACAAAGGCCCATTTCTTGAATATTTAGCTTTCTTCTAGTGAACAGATCTTGTACATCTGATTTTTTGAGTCATAACAGCCATAAGCACAAAATACAAACATGCCAACAAGCCATGTAACTTAGACAGCTGTCCAAATATTTATGCTTGTGCCCCTCAATCATTAACATGTACAACTGAAATGCTGAACTGAAGTTCAATTATAAATCCAAACCCATTGAGAATTTTTCTTGTATCCTTTTGTAAAATGTTGTGTCTTTGACAGATGGCTTAGTAACCCCAGGCAGCATCTTCGTAGCATCTTTATCTCTTATGGGTTCTGGGAGATGTTGGTGGGTTTGGGGCCTGACTCATTCCCTGGTTTCAGTGGGATTTGCCCCCAGCTTTGGCTGAGGCTGGGGTTCCACCTGCAGAAACGGCCAGCACAATCTCTATAATGTTAGCCATGATCTGATTCAAATGTGCAGATTAAAATGCAGATTGATGCCTGGAGGTCATGATTCTGATACCTGTGGAGCAGGAGAGAGGGCAGGTCTGGGGGGTTGTACTGGGATCCCTCTCTCTATTTCCCATCTTGTTCTCTGCTTTTCTCTTTGCTGGACTGCAATGTGGTATCTCAGGTCCCCAGTGCCCCCTCAGAGCAGGGCTGAAGGCAGCTGTGCTGGCTGCAGGGAAGGTGTGAAGGGTGCTGGAAGTCCCAGGCTCTTTTCTCCAGAGGGATCTGGCAGGGGCTCTCAGGGTCACTTGGCAGCTGCATTTTCTCTCCCACATCATCCTTGCTTTGATTTCAGTCCTGCAGGTTAAGCTCTGAGCCCAGGTGCTCTGTGCTCACCTGTAGGAGCAGAGATCTTTCAGAGCCAGACAAGAAGCAAATGGAGACTGGTGTTGGTTATTGCAGGTCCCCATGGCTGTGTGTGGGATCAGTGTCCCCAGCCAGCACTGATGGGAAGCTGAGCAGTGTTCTGCAGGGTGATGGATGTTCATTGGCAGCTGATGGAGAGCTCTGCAAATGTCACTGAGGCAGCAGTGTCCCCAAGTGCTGATTAGTGTTTGCTCTCTTGCATGACTTACTGGCAGAAAAGCACACACCTCTGAGAAATGCAGTTGTGGCATGGATGCAGTGTGTTTGTAGCCACAGTGAGGAGCCCCTGGAAGAGGGTTGGGTTGTCAGGTTGGAAAGTCCACTATCAGCTCTGAACTTCCTGGGTCTCTCATCACCCAGCAGAGGCACATCCACAATCACCTCCTGCAGACCTCTGGATGTGTAGCAAAATGCCATTGCTGGGAGATAAATGGTCAGTTCACAAGAGATTGTCAAGCTGACATCTTGAAATATTCTCTCCATTTCAGAGTGACAGGCAGGGACTGCTCCCTGTCCCTGCAGGAGGGTGGGCACGGTGCCATCCTCCTCCAGGGCAGTGGCAGGGATTTCCTAAGCACAGACATTGAAATATCTGTGTCAGCCTGGCAGAATAATTCAGTTGGGTGAGTTATCCTTTGGGTGGCAACACCAGAGCTTTGGGCCTTCCTGCTGATGTTCAAGTGAGAAGGGCAGCTTCAACCTGCAGTTGGGAACTTGAGTTTGGAAAACACTCTGGACATTTTTTGGGTGCTCTTCAGTGGCTTCTTTCTTCCAAGCACAGAGCTGCAATTTCCTGTAGCCATTGGCTCTGCCAGTGCTTATCCTCTGCTGCTGCCTTTATTTGCCTGCCCTTCCCAATGATTCTCCACTTCCTTGTCCTCTCCCCTTCCACCTTGCCTCCTCCCAGACCTATCCTCACTGACAAATGTAATGCCCAAGGGTTAGTCCCTTGCATCAGCACAAGTGTGGAGAGGTGGGAAAACAAACCTTGCTCATGCCCTTTTCCTTCACACTGTTAAGAGAAGAAAAAAAAAAAAAAAAAAAAAAAAAAGCAGGGAAGGTGACATTTTTCTTTCCAGGGCAAAGTTTTTGCTGACTTGAAAAGAGGCAGGATTTCATTGCTAAAATTCTACTTTATTTTTCTCTCCCCTGTTCCCTGCCACTATATCTTAAGTTCATTGCTTTGTTTTGTCCACAAATCACCTGTAATCCTTCAGTGAAGGTTTTTGTATCTTGCTGACTTTATGTCTTCTTGAACAGTGCTTTGCACAGTAGGGACACAGCTCTAGCAGGGCTCTTCAGGGTGTAATCAGAACCCAAAATATATGAGGGAGTGTGTAAGCATAGCATTATCATCCACTGATTCTCAGCTCATTATGGAAACCTTTACTTCAGAATAGTGGCACCTCCTTCTCCTTTGGTAATTCTCTTTAAAATGTTTTATTAATGCAATTACCTGAATTTAACTGAGCAAAGCAAGGCCTCTCATCAAAAGGCACATGCAGGCAGGTATGCAGCTCTCAGTCCCTAAAATACAGTGTGTCCATCCTGATGCTGGAGAAAAGGAGGCAGTGAAACC